CCCACCGCCCCCTCCTCCTCCGCCCCCACCTCCACCCTCTGCTCCCCCGCAGGTCCAGCTGCCCGTGTCTCTGGACCTGCCGCTCTTCCCTTCCATCATGATGCAGCCTGTGCAGCACCCTGCGCTCCCTCCTCAACTGGCCCTGCAGCTGCCGCAGATGGACACCCTCTCTGCAGATCTCACTCAGCTTTGCCAGCAGCAGCTCGGGCTAGATCCCAACTTCCTAAGGCATTCTCAGTTCAAACGCCCACGGACAAGAATTACAGATGATCAACTAAAAATCCTGAGGGCTTATTTTGACATCAATAACTCTCCAAGTGAAGAACAGATCCAAGAAATGGCAGAGAAATCTGGCCTCTCTCAAAAAGTTATCAAGCACTGGTTTCGAAATACGCTGTTTAAGGAGCGACAGAGAAATAAGGATTCACCGTACAACTTCAGTAACCCTCCTATAACTGTTTTGGAAGATATCAGAATTGACCCCCAGCCCGCCTCTTTAGAACATTACAAATCCGATGCATCGTTCAGTAAAAGGTCTTCTAGAACGAGGTTTACTGACTACCAGCTTCGGGTTCTACAAGACTTTTTTGACACAAACGCTTACCCAAAAGATGATGAAATAGAACAGCTCTCCACTGTTCTCAATCTACCTACTCGGGTTATTGTTGTATGGTTCCAGAATGCTCGACAGAAAGCACGGAAGAGTTATGAGAATCAAGCAGAAACTAAAGATAATGAAAAAAGAGAGCTCACGAATGAACGGTATATTCGAACAAGCAACATGCAGTACCAGTGTAAAAAGTGCAATGTGGTTTTCCCCAGGATCTTTGACTTGATTACGCATCAGAAAAAGCAGTGTTACAAGGATGAGGATGACGACGCCCAAGACGAAAGCCAAACGGAGGACTCCATGGACGCCACCGATCAGGTGGTGTATAAGCAGTGTGCAGGGTCTGCTCAGACCGAGGCAGCCAGAAACACCGCTGCACCTGCTGCAAGCTCCGGCTCTGGGGCTAGCACCCCCCTGATTCCGTCACCCAAACCAGAACCCGAAAAGACTTCTCCAAAGCCTGAATATCCCACAGAAAAGCCAAAGCAGAGTGACCCCTCTCCCCCTTCCCAAGGCACCAAACCAGCCCTGCCATTAGTGTCGACTTCCTCAGACCCGCCACAGACGTCCGCAGCCAAAGCCAAAGCAGAGTGACCCCTCTCCCCCTTCCCAAGGCACCAAACCAGCCCTGCCATTAGCGTCGACTTCCTCAGACCCGCCACAGACGTCCGCAGCCCAGCCACAGCCACAGCCACCAAAACCACCCCCACTTATTGGAAGACCTCCCTCGGCCTCGCAAACCCCGGTCCCCTCCAGTCCACTGCAAATTCCTATGACTTCTCTCCAGAACAGTCTACCTCCACAGTTACTACAATACCAATGTGATCAGTGTACAGTGGCCTTCCCGACCCTGGAACTCTGGCAGGAGCACCAGCACATGCACTTCCTCGCTGCTCAAAACCAATTCCTCCACTCTCCGTTCCTGGAAAGGCCCCTGGACATGCCCTACATGATATTCGACCCCAACAATCCGCTGATGACAGGACAGCTGCTGAGTAGCTCGCTCACACAAATGCCACCTCAAACCAGTTCTTCCCACACCCCGGCCCCCGCAACAGTTGCTGCTTCCCTGAAAAGGAAACTGGATGATAAAGAAGATAATAATTGCAGTGAGAAAGAAGGAGGGAATAGCGGTGAAGACCAACACCGTGACAAACGCTTGAGAACCACCATCACCCCAGAACAACTGGAAATACTCTATGAAAAATACTTGTTGGATTCCAATCCCACCAGGAAAATGCTTGATCATATTGCACGCGAAGTAGGGCTGAAGAAAAGAGTCGTGCAGGTCTGGTTCCAGAACACACGAGCGCGAGAGAGGAAAGGTCAGTTCCGCGCAGTGGGTCCAGCCCAGTCTCATAAGAGGTGTCCCTTTTGCCGAGCCCTGTTTAAAGCAAAGTCAGCTTTAGAAAGCCACATTCGCTCTAGGCACTGGAATGAAGGAAAGCAGGCAGGTTACAGCTTGCCTCCAAGTCCTTTAATATCAGCAGAAGATGGGGGAGAAAGCCCACAGAAATACATTTATTTTGATTATCCATCTTTACCATTAACTAAAATTGATCTATCAAGTGAGAATGAATTGGCTTCTACAGTGTCAACACCTGTTAGTAAAACAGCAGAGCTGTCACCGAAGAATATTTTAAGCCCTTCTTCTTTTAAAGCAGAATGTTCTGAGGATGCAGAGACTTCAAATGCCCCTCCTGCTGAGGTTGGGTATGATCAAAATAAAAATGACTTTGATGAGACTTCGTCAATTAATACAGCAATCAGTGACGCCACCACCGGAGACGAGGGAAACACTGAAATGGAAAGCACCACTGGAAGCTCTGGAGATGTGAAACCAGCTTTGTCTCCTAAAGAGCCAAAAATGCTTGACGCTTTGCCCAAAACAGCAACCACACCTACCGCAGAGGTCTGTGATGACAAATTTCTCTTTTCTCTCACCAGTCCATCAATCCATTTCAATGATAAAGATGGTGACCATGACCAAAGCTTTTATATCACGGATGACCCTGATGATAATGCTGACCGCAGCGAGACGTCCAGCATAGCCGACCCGAGCTCGCCAAATCCATTTGGATCCAGCAATCCTTTTAAATCCAAAAGTAATGACCGGCCAGGTCACAAGCGTTTCAGAACCCAGATGAGCAATCTTCAACTCAAGGTTCTCAAGGCTTGCTTCAGTGACTACCGAACTCCAACCATGCAAGAATGCGAAATGCTAGGGAATGAGATTGGTCTGCCCAAACGTGTGGTCCAGGTGTGGTTTCAAAATGCAAGGGCAAAGGAAAAGAAGTTTAAAATTAACATAGGGAAGCCTTTTATGATCAATCAAAGTGGAACGGAAGGCACCAAGCCAGAGTGTACCCTCTGTGGGGTGAAGTACTCTGCTCGCTTGTCCATCAGAGATCATATTTTCTCCAAACAGCACATTTCAAAAGTAAGGGAGACTGTTGGCAGTCAGCTTGATCGGGAGAAAGATTACTTAGCTCCGACCACAGTTCGACAGCTGATGGCACAGCAAGAACTCGATCGTATAAAGAAAGCTTCAGATGTGCTGGGCTTAACAGTGCAGCAGCCGGGCATGATGGACAGCAGCTCCCTCCATGGTATCAGCCTGCCAGCGGCCTACCCAGGACTCCCCGGCCTTCCTCCAGTCCTTCTCCCTGGAATGAATGGTCCATCCTCCTTGCCTGGATTTCCACAAAATTCAAACAGTAAGTCATTTAAAAGACAGTCAGTCTAGTTAATTAAATAACATTGGGCAGCCAATCACATGTAACCAACAACAGGGTACATTTTGATTTCTTTTAATTTCAGTAAATGAAGCCAATAAATTATTTGAAATATATATTTTATCTACTATAGTATATAACCAGGAAGTAGGTCAGTCTGGACATACACAGAAAAATAAGGACTAGATATATCATAATAGATTCCCAGAAATACTCTAGTTATTTGTATCATTACATCAGTACATCTTAGAAATATTAGCTTTTATATACTAATTTTAATACTGATTTAAAATGACATTTCAGCACACATGTGGCATATATTTGGTGTATATATATTAAAAAACTGAAACATTAAGTAATACGTTTATTGATATCTTAATTTATGTTCTTTCCAAGGGGCGGGGCTTTCTTTTGCCTGTTTTTGTTTGTTTGTTTTCCCCCCATAAGTGTCATGAAGTTCAAAAATTAAGGGTCCTCTAGCCACAGGAATTCACCTACATTGCACCTAGCAGGTAATAAAGCTCATGTTTAAAGTTTAACAACTAAAAATATGACTTCTGTGAAATTTGTAATTTAGCATTGCTAAACGGTTTTCATTTTCATAGCATCCGTTGATACTTGTTATTTAATAACTTCACAACCTTAGAAATACATAAATATTACTCCATGTCTGTCTTTCTAGCCCACCTACACCCCAGCTAAGGTTTATAATTAAGGTATAAAAAAATTGTAAAGTTGTTTGAGGCAACCCCACATGCTGAATTCTAATCTGTGTTCATCAAGAGAAATATAATTTGTGTAGTTTGGACTTTGTGAATAAGTTGCAGGTATTCAATTATATTAGAGTAAGTAAATTGAAGATAGTGTACTAGGCAAACAGGGAGCCAAAAATCTAATAAAAGTTATTTTCATATATCACCCAAAATGGAAAAACATGGTTCTCTTATCATTTCTTATATCATTTTTACAAAGATATATGTGATTATATGTATATGGGATTACAAAGATATTATGTCTATCTACAAAGTTTACATAAAACATAAGAAAAGCTTTTTTCATTTTTGCAAATTGGACTTCTAAATAAATTTCAAACTTTTCAACTTTATCCCTCTTACAAAAAACAAAATTGTCATTGGGATCTTAAGAAGTTATTCCTATTTTAACTTTTGGCTTGGTAGGCATGAAGCAGCGATATCCATTGGCCTCTTGGCCACTGCTAGCTGATCTGGTTCCCTGTCCTGAATGTCTTGTTGGCTTTAGAGAGAAGCAAAATGGAGCTATACGTACAAAGAACATTACCAAGAAAATGTCCACAATGTCTCTCCCTTTAACTCTCACACCAACCCCACCTCCCCTGATCTGGTTCCCTGTCCTGAATGTCTTGTTGGCTTTAGAGAGAAGCAAAATGGAGCTATATGTACAAAGAACATTACCAAGAAAATGTCCACAATGTCTCTCCCTTTAACTCTCACACCAACCCCACCTCCCCCCAAAATACTTTGGGCTTAATTATCTGGGTAATCTTGGGGCCTTAAGTATTAGAGCTACAAGTATGCCTTGATTGTGCATTTTCATTAAGTCAAACGTAAGCAATTTAAGAATAATGCAATGCCAGATTTTTTGCATATGGTGTTAGTCTTGTTACTTTCTAGTCCCACTTTATATACCACTGTGATTATTAACTGACACATAGAAAAATGTCTTATGTGGAAGAACTCCTATGATCAGTTATGTAAAATAGAGTTTTGATGTTTTACCTCAGCTAAGAACAGTTGAAGTGTCTGTGCCTTTAATCTACAAGTCTGATTTATGATGACTGTATTGTCACCCCCCATAAGTGGTGGTCACAGCATCTTGTTTTTCTCTCCACTGGGTCAGAAGGCCTTTGCTGGGACAATGGGTCCTTCGGCCGACTGCCCTTCTGGTTCGTCACTCTGAGACTGGCAACCAGAGGGCCTGAGAGAAAGTGAGGAAGAGGGAAGATGTTTATGAAATATTTAGTCAAGCTAACCTTATTTTCATTCTACTCACCATAAATATAATTTATATCCTCCCCCTGAAATGTGGGCCCTGTTTGTAACCATTAGCATTGCTGGGAAGTTGGAGTGTCTTTAAACGCACCAGGTACAGAGTACCAAGGAACTCAGCAATCTTGTATCTGTTGCTTTATAAAATCAGGGACCAAAAGAGACCAGGGAGTTTCATAAAGAGAAAACCTCCATGAACATTGTTACCTACTAGAATTTGTAATTTCTCTTCAATCAGTCCTTTGATTGTGAGATATTTTAAACATTAACACAGCCGAGTTATCAGTGGGGCCCCATCTGAGAGCCTGAGTTCCCACTCCCAGTTCACATCTTTTCTAGGTTAATTTACCTGTGGTGGGTAATGCTGAATATTTTAACCAGCGCATAGAGTAGAGCTGTGCTTCTCCATCTTCCCATCATCATCTTCCTACTGAATTATTTCTCATCAAATAGATATCTTTGTTTTATGGGAGAGAGAGACTTACCAGCTAGGTGAAATCAAAAGGAGAAAATGATTTCATAAGTAAAATATTTCTGTATTTCTTACAAGCTGTGGGCTCTTGCTACAGTTTGCTATCTATATGAACATATTTTGAGGATATGACAATTCCCTCTTGGACCCATTTTAATAGGAATTAGTTATGGAAAAGACTTCATTTTAAAGACAGCCCATCCCTTTGAAGGTAGGTTTAAGGTTTTGATCTAAACAAAATTACTAAAAAGGGGCTGCAGTGAATAGAAGATGCGCTGTAATGAGTTTGTCCAAAGTCTACACCCCAAAATTAGCTTAAATGCAAAGTTCATGTTTAGTTTTAATGTTTACCAGCCTCCAAATTTCCTGGTCCAAACATTCATTTTTATATTTGGGGAGTGGGATTGCTATTCTAGTTGGATTTCATCTTTAATGCTTACAAAACTTCCATACCTTCCTTCCAAGAAATCTTCGAGTATTTAGTAATTCAGAGTCACTTAGAAGGCCCTTTCAAGAGTGATACATATCATGTGTGCCTGCTTCCTGAACAGTGGCCCAGCCTGGGTTCGGTATCACTACTTATTACTGCTCATGTTTGAATAAAATGAATTGTTTTCGGCTTTACTTTTTTTTTTTTTTTTGCATTTTACTTTTTCTTTCATGTTAATATGTAGAAAGGGAAAGTGGCAATAGAATATCCCTGTATGCCTGTATACCTGCAACAAATTAGAAAATATTACGTTTGCATTTTTTCCTTTAGAGTGTTAGCTTCCTTTGGCATTTTGCTCAACATGAATAGAAAAATTACTTGATTTTCTATTTATAATATATGTACTTTACTGTTTTAAGTGGTGACTGATTTTTAACGTTCCGTTAGTGTTTGGAAATACTGTCTACCCAATTTCCTTAAAAGGAACTTTAGAACATTCTTTTTGCATTTTTCTCATATTTCAATGTAATTTACTAGCACATTTGGGGTAAATCTAGATAACAGTAAGTCCTTAATAATTGTAGCACAATTGTCTTTGGCCTCATGTAAATAGTTATTTTTATTTTCAACCTCAAAAATAAATTTTCCCTCTGGGAGATCCAGATCAACTAAACATGGAAAAAAAGAACTACATATAAATAAGTGTATTGTGAGGCAGGCATTTTGTTCTGAAAGCATTATTTTAGGCATAGACAGCTATTCAGGAAAATAAAATCAAACAAAATGATGGTAATATGAAATTATTTGCAGGAAAATTTTTTATGTATAAGTGAAATTTCTAAGAATTGGAGGAGTTACAAAAAGGGAAAGAATATATCTTTAACATTATAACTTGATAAAAGACATGAGAATTTGATATACATTTAGTTTTATTTACCAGCACTTATTTTCTATCATGATTACTGTCAGTTTTTCTCTTCTATTTTTGGTTTTCTGGCTACTGCATTGTTTACTGTAAATGTTCACTGGCTTATTTCTTTTATGAGTAAAACCAATTTATATAGCTTATTTTCTTATTGTGTATCTTTTTTCCTAAAAGTTTTGCTTAGCTGATTATTTAACTCAGTTTATTCCTCAAGATGTTGATTCCTAAAAATCCCTGATAATGCCTGGCTATATTATTTAAAATTCCTATTGCAGTCTTCTAAAGAATTTTATTATCTCTATATATGACCTCTAGGTAGCAACACGGAGACCCCATCTGATGCAAAAGGCTGGGTCAACAATTATTGATCCATTTTGCTTTCTAACTACAATTGCTATATTTTCATGTCTCTTAGTTTCTTAATGTTTCTCTTGTCTTCAATTCTCATGTCAAAGGCAATAGGTGAGCCAGTAATTTCCTCTGATTTAGGGGAGAAAGATGCAGCAGGTGGAAGGGGGGTGCCATTATTGAGTATGAAGCTGAACTACTGCACTAGACCTAGAACTAAGGTAGGTTTTGTGAGTAAGCAAAAGAAGCAGGCAACCAACATAGTATTATTCTAACAATGAGGAAAAGCCTCCTCCACCTGAATCACTCAGGCCTGAAATTTTATAATTAGATATTTATTCCTTTGACTTAAATTGTCCTCTGTTAAATGGAAAATAGCATAGACTATCATGAAATCAGAACATCATAACAGAAAGAAACCTCAAAGATTATCTAATCTAGTACATGGGCACTTTAAAAAGTTCATGGAAAAATAGAATTGAAAGATAATATGTATCTTTCCATTAATTTCTTGAACTACCTTTGTATATATTGAGCCTTTTCAATTACAGTGTATTCATTTCTTTGGTTCTTTCTTGCAAATGTTTTATCAAGAGTCAAATGGAAAGAAGATAAGATACCAGGCATCACAGTGTGGGAATAAAAGCAACGGAGTTAAGGGTGTGGACTCCCCAAAGCAACTTTATTACTTTACAGTTTTCCCTAGGGTTAGGTCTAATTCTCATGAATCTAAGTGGTCTATTTCCAAGTTGAATTAAAGATCAGAGGCTTTACACATTCATTTGTATCAGACCTTTGCAAAGCTTGAGCCATTTTTATTCAAATTTATTTTAAATTTGTGAGCCATTCTTCACTAAAATGTGGATACTTATCATCTTTTTTTTCCCCCTTCTGGAAATAATGTTATTTTTAAGGAATTTTTTTTTTTTTGCATTTTAAGTATTTTAATTATTTAATGTCTGAAATCGATTCAATTAGACCAGAAGATAAATTTGAGTGGCAGCTGTAAAATTTAATGTCCTCAGCCCATCTACCAGTGAGTGCTATATTTTTCTCTGTCAAGTACCCAACATGTCTAGGACTCAAGTTTCTTATTTATAAAATTGTATATTTAGCATTTCTCCCCTCTTACCATTGAAGATGTTGGGAGACTACTCTTTAACATGATGACTATTGCTATTACAACCATAGAAATTACTCTAAAGCAGATTCAAAAAGAGTTGGGTGCGGTAAGGTTAAAAAGGAGAGCAGCCAGTAATAAGCTAGGCTAATTGAGAGTAATAGGATAATGATAAGGGTCAAGGAGAGAGTGATGCTGAGGACTTCGACAGTATCTTAAATGCTAGGCCTAAGAAGATCTTTCTTTGCTGGGTAAAGATCAATTAAGAAACTAAAGGTTTGTTTGAGGCTAATTGAGAGTAATAGGATAATGATAAGGGTCAAGGAGAGAGTGATGCTGAGGACTTCAACAGTATCTTAAATGCTAAGCCTAAGAAGATCTTTCTTTGCTGGGTAAAGATCAATTAAGAAACTAAAGGTTTGTTTGTTTTTTTTTTTTCTTTTTTTTCTAGCTAAAGAAATAAAAGCATGCAGTTTCTGTTTCGCTTATGTTTTGTTTTAATACCCATATGTTGCATTTAGCATAGAGGTCAAGCTATGACCAATATTAAAAAGATGGTTTTATTATATCTCATGACCATTCTCTCTACAGGTATGCACTGATGACTAAACTTTATTCACCTTCTCCTGGTTAATTCTTCCACTAGCCCAGCAAGTCTCCATCACAGTCCTTGTAATGTAGTAAGCGTAGTAAGCCTTCCCTTGTTCAAGAATGAACTGCCATCAGTCACCCATTAAGCTTCTAATCTGTTCCTTTTGCAGTCAACTTTATTTACCTCTAAAAACATCTTCAAGAAAGAGACAGGCTTTTATAATTCCCTTTTCTATCCTGAGTTGTCCTTTAGTTTCCCAGACAACTATCCAGCTCATAAAAATGGCTATGTAATAGGTTATTACCAGCCACTCCATTATATTGGGTACTTGAAACCAGCAAAGATCTTTTCCATTACTATAGAAGCCAATCTCTTCCCACATGTATCTGCCTACTGGGCATTTAGTTTCCCCTCTCTAATGAGGTGAGAATCATATTTGGGTACTGCAAGCAAAGTTAGAAGAAGCATGTTTTGGGCATAGTAAAGTTGAGTGTTAATATCTGTAATTCCTATCAAGAACTCTGTTATCCAAGTTGTCAGGATAGTAATGAATAGCTTAACCTGCACCCTTAAAAATAAAATCATGCCTAACCATGCTTGATCCTAGTAATGAATAGCTGTGACTTCGCTGCTATTTGTTTCTCTTGGTGTTTTCAATGGTCATTTAACTATTGCTATTTAATTAACTTATCACCTTCTTGATTGAATGTAAATGTATTTTTCTACCGGAACATAGGCAGATGGATTTCATTTTATTTGATAGCTAATTACTTTTAGTGAATGTGGTAATTATCAGACTGCTCAAGTGAAGGACAGAGTGAGTCTGCCTTCCCAGAGGTATAGTAAAAACTGGTTAAACTGAATAACAGAATAGAGATCTTGCAACGTGTATCAATTAGACGACCACTGTTGATCATGATGATGTTTTTTATTAACCATCTTTCATACTATGAGCTCCTTTTGTTTACTGAGTAAGCTTACATTCCTTAGAGTTGTGGTGGGGGTTAAAACTAATTTAAGAAATATTATAAACACAGGAAAGCCCTC